TTTCACATAATGAACTAGTAAAAAAGTTTATTTCTAGCCGGGCGGAGGTGGCGCACGCCTTTAATCCCAGCACTCGGGAGGCAGAGGCAGGCGGATCTCTGTGAGTTCGAGGCCAGCCTGGGCTACCAAGTGAGTTCCAGGAAAGGCGCAAAGCTATACAGAGAAACCCTGTCTCGAAAAACCAAAAAAAAAAAAAAAAAAAAAAAAAGTTTATTTCTACTTTTTATTGCTTTGTTTTTTGACATGGGCATCTCATTGTGTAGACTTGGCTATCTTAAAACTTTCAATGCAGACCATATGACCTCAACCTCAGAGACTCACCTGACTCTGCCTCCAGAGTACACCACTACCCCTGGTTATTGTATATTTACTTACTATTTATTTATTCTGTGTTGATAGACAGGTTCTTACTATGTAACCTAGGCTAGTCTCAAAGTTATGATCCTCCTGCCTCAGCCCCTAGTGGCACTAACACTGTATGTGCCACTGTACTGGTTCTGATTTCTACCTTTTAAAATTTCCTTTTTCTCTGACACATTTGTTCAGTTTAATATTATATGTCAACAATTATAGAGTTATGCATTTGAGTTTATTTACTTTTTGATTTTTGTTTAGTAGAGGTAGGCATTAGGCTAATAAAAAAACAAAATTATATGCTATTTGCTCTAACCTTCTTTAATTTGCAAACCGGCAATTGTATGACAAATTCTAAAATACATAAAAGTACCTAGAAGGTCATGCATACTTCATATATAAGTTATTCATTAGTATACAAAAACAAGTATAGAGTAACATGTACTCATCTAAGAATGTCAGTGTTAAACCAAGATGGTGGCACATACCTCTAATGCTGACTCTTGAGAGGTGGAAAGTGGGATTAGGGGTTCAAATCCACCCTAGACTACACAGGGAGCTCAAGGTTAGCCTAAGCAACATGAAACCTTGCCTTAAAAAACATCAGCCTTTAACTTTACCTCATAACTAAATAGACACTTAAGAATGCATTGTAATCAGTATCAAAAATGTTTCATTTGATTAATCATAGTAGAAGATAGATTTGGTCAGTTCTTATGTGGCTTCTCCTAGCCTCCCTTTCACCTTTGAAACATGGCTTCTGAGATGGCTGTCTCTGGTGGTGTCATCAATGTGTTCAATAACAGGAAAGTGAGTAAATTATCAGCTCCAGAAGAAGTGAAGATGTAAGAAGGCAGGGCCTGTCTGCATGAGTGAGGGCAGAAACACCATCCTAAAGGAGGAACCAGACCCTAATAGGCAATGTTGAACAAAGTGATGACTGCTACCCATCATTGTCAAGATGCAGCCAGATAAGTGCTATTGCCATGATGTAACCTGCTGAGACCCAGCAGGGGGACAGGAGGACCCAGTGTTCACCTCGAGGCTCCTGAGAATGAACCCTTTAAGAACAAAATGATCTTGCCAGCTCCAATAATTCCATCAAAAAGAAGCTGACATGTATCAAACCTGAAGTAAAAGCAAACTGCTAGGAGGAGGCCAAGGACCACTGCATTCTGGCAGAAAACCTCACCAGCCACACTGCCATTTTCCTGAGTGGCAAGAATTTATTAGCTGCCTCTAGTCCCTTCCTGGAGCATCTAGCAGTTACCAGACATGCTCTTGGGTGCTGCAGGTTGTCACTTTCCTGCCAAATTTAGGAGTGACTGAGGGGATCCCAGCAAGGGAAGGGCAGCCCCATCACCCTAGTTGTCAAATACACCACCCCTCTGTGGATGGGCCCTCTTCCCCCCATCCCTGACACTTCTACCTTTCCCAAACTGCTTCTGATCTTCTGATTGCTCTTGGGTGAAAAGCAGACAAAGTCTTCCATCCTGGGCATCTAGTTGGGGAGGGACTGTGTTTTTATATCATCCCTATTCCTAATTTATCCTTCCCTGTCTATCCCTCTCAATCCCATGCTGCAACGTTCCAGACAAAATAGTGGCTCTGCTTGTCTGTTTAGTTTTGTGTATAAATGGAGTGTTGTGTAAATGACCTTCCCTGGTCAGCCTTCCCTTTCCCTTGGTCTCGGCCACACAGCGGAGAAAAAGAAATCTCCAAGGGAACCTTGATTTAAAAGACAAAGGTAAACTAAAAAGGATAATAAAACAAGATATAAAAAAAGTAAAATCTAATACTATTTTTGCATATTCATATTGGAAGAAAGTAAGTATAACAGTTAATTCTCACAAAATAATATCAATATAATTGAAACCACCCTTAGTGGAAAGAAACTGAGTAAAATGTAGTCGGTCGGTGGAACGCGGGTATTACTGAGGTATGTGGTGTGAGTGTCACGTGCAATATGTTCTGTAAAACACACAATCAGCAAGATATTTGACTCAGTTTCCTTGACCATGATGAACAAACACTGCCATAGAAACTTTAAAGAGGTCTTTAATCTGGATAGAACCTTCACATGTACTGCTCAGTGGATTCTAATACTAGAAACTCTCTCACCATCAAAGTGGAACCTGTTTTTTAAAAAAAAGTCATATTTTGGAATATCATAGCAAAGCTTACACTGTCTGTAAAGTTTATCATTACAACAATTTTTCATAGAAAAAATTCTTAAATCTAAGGTTGTCAATCCACTTCTCTTTGAGTTTTTTCGTCACTTAGAAACAGCAGCTAAGCATGAAAAAAAAAATCTCTTAAAAGCATTTGCTTTTACAGTTCATCCCAACAAGACAATTTGCTATTTACTTGTTTTACAGTTAATCTCCATGCTAAATCTGAAAGTGCATTCTCAGTAACAACTAGAATGGAAGAACATTGGGATAATGACACGAGACGATAAGAGCAAGGAACACGCTCATTTGAGTATATAATCTCTTTCACATATATGAGCTTTAAGTTGAAATGAAGTAGGTTAAAGGCTTCACAAAAACTTACCAAAGAGGATTTGTATAAAACAAAAACTTACCAAAAGGACAGGAAGCCTTTCTAGACTCCAATCCCTACAGGCAAGCACTTTCTAACAGGAACTATATGCCTCTATAAAATTAAATAAATATTAATTTTTAGCTTAGTATTTGGTACAATTTTTAGCTAACTGATGGAAAAATAAAGAACAATGTTCAAATGTAGTTAGTGGCCACCCTCAGTTAATTGGCAAAACAGAAATACTAGGCATTTATTTTTCTCTCCTAAACACATAACTAAATAACATACTGATGCTTTCCCTACAGTTAAATTTGACAACATGAATTACTGTAGACTTATGAAATTAAAGAATTATTTCAAAGAATCCTGAGTATACTTTCTATACTCTATCCAGTGGTGATTTTGCAAAATTTGCATGGTCCTAAAGTTGCATGGTAGAGCCAGTCCTAGGATCCTAGAGGATTGACTAGTGCTGGACAAAGACCTACTCCCCCTCTTCATTGTTCTGATAGGATTAAACATGTAAGGTTGTGGGGAAACATATAAAAACACTTATTCAGTAATTTGTTGCACCAGTATTATGAATAATAAAGATTCATGAGATGAAATTACATTTAGAATTTCAGAATAAAACAAATGAGGTAACTGAATGGAATGTAAAAATCAGGTAAGAATTTCTAGAAACTACATGGTCTAAAGTATTCAGTTGTTACTGGCCAATGTCTTGCTTCTGCAATCATATCCTGAATTTCTACCATCTTATTGTGACTTTATTTTTACTTAAGTACTTAAATGATTATTTTCTACTCATTTATTTTTGGACTTTTTAGACTTATTGTTGTGTGGCTTATAGTTCACCCTGTAACATTTCTATACATGTATATAGTGTGTGGTAATCAGATCACAGTGTTGGCATATCCATCACCTTCATGTTTATCATTTCTTTGTGTTAATAACATCCCAAACCTACTAGTCCTTTCAAAGGATTTTATTAATTAATTGTTAATAATCACATTACACTGTGGTGCTATAGAATATTAGAAATTGTTCTCCAGTCCGATAGTCTCCATGAACACATCCTCTCCCTATTTCCTGCCCACTCTCTTCCCAGCCTCTGGCAGCCAATGGTCTACTTTCATGAGATCAACTTTTTAGTTTCCCATATAAGTGAGAAAATGCAGAATTTCGTGCCTGGCATTTGACTTAACATCTTCCAGTTCTAGCCATAATACTGTAAACAGAATTTTCATTGTGTATAGCAAACATATTCATATGTGGTTTTTTTTTTTTGTGTGTGTGTGTGTGTTTATATCACATTATCTTCACCACTCATTCACCAATGAGTTCCTAGTCTGGTACCAAATATTGGGTATTATAATGTTGCCATGAATATGTGAGTACAGATACTTCTTTAACACACTCACTGGCCTCAGTTCCTTTAAATATCTACTATTAATAAGATTTGGGTATAATATGATAGCTCTATGTCTAGTTTCACCCTGGAATTCCCCTCCTATACTTGTTTTCATCTCCACCAACAGCAAAAGTTCTCCTTTCTCTGACTCCTTACTAGAATTTATGTTGTACCTTTTTAATAGAAGACTGTTTAACTGAGGTGAAACGGTATCTCATAGTCGGTTTAAAATGTATATCCTAGTATACACTGTGCATACTGCTAGGTAGTTTGTGCCATTTGCATAATTTAATTTCCTATATGACAATTTTAGCATAATAACCTCATTTACAGATGAAGTTGATATGTATACTTAAAGTGATCTCATAGCTAGTGAGCTACTGAACAGCAAATACAGCATTTAAGTGACCTTCCCTTCATGCTCATATTTTAAATGCACAACATTGCATTACAGGAAATATTTGGTCCCGTCAAATTATTATTTGCACACTGATAATTTACTTTAAGTACTCTGGTTCACACATAGAAGCATGTGATTGTGAATGTTTTCTATCAAAGGTGGACAGCAGTTACTGGACGTGACAGGTACAATTTTGGATCAGCCTGTCACACTGGAAACTTTATAGGGACTTTTATGGGCATACCAAAGTTTTATCCCCCACCCACATCAAATATAGAGACATAGTAAAGAAGTAAGTTATTTTACTATAGTCAAGAAATATTTTGACTTAGAAATGAAAACGTTTGTTTATGACAAACAACTTCAATGAACAAACTTCACTGAAAGCGTGGAACACGACTCACTCAGTAGTAGCTGTTACTATATTAATTTCTGTGGTTAGTGTATTTTCTGAGTGGAACTACATTGAAAGCCATGTAATCAAGAATATCGCTTGGAAAACATGGGTTCTGAATGTATTTATCATTTGTGATTTGAACAGTTATTAACAGCAAATTTAAATCACCCAATATTGATTCACAGTCGAACTAGGATTGTCATTGGGAATGGAGTCTAACAAAATGAAGACCCTCCTTCATCTTGGAGCCATGCTCAGATAACTTATTTTATCTGTCTTCTGCTTTTCATTTATCTACTTCTGTGGCTACTATTTCCTTGGTGGGTATGCTAATGCCTCCAATTAACTTAATTCAAATCTTGTAGCTGAAAAATTAACCTGTTCTCCAAAGACAGCTTTGCACATGTTTGTGCTGATCTATTTTGTGTTGATATTGAATTTCAGCAATAAAAAAGTCTCATCTTGTGGGTTTTTATTTATATTTCTTGCTGATACCTCTCTGTATAAAGCCATAAGAACTGACAAAAATCACCAAGTGTGATGCTACATGCCTTTAATTCCAGCACTGGGTAGGCAGAGACTGATATAGCTCTGTGACTATTTAGTGAGTTCTAGGCCAGCCAGAAATATATAGAAAGTCTCAAATTTTAAAATTAATTTCAGGGTAATATAAAGCACACTAAAATATCTCACATATTTGTGAGAAATAAGCATAACTAATAGCAGCTGTTTCCTCCCACTTAGGATAGGCCCTTGGATTAATCATAGGTACCAAGGACTGAACCTAGGACCATACTCACTTTAGGGACACAGTCTGGCACTGCCTTACATCCCCAGCCCTAGTCAATCATTTAATCACATACATCTTGATAACTAGAATAAAGCTCTACAAATCCCTTCTATGAGAAGAGTTATTTCATAATTGTACAAGTCCTATCCCAAGCAAGAACTGCTGTCTGGAAAGAAGAGAGGCCCAGAAAATATATAAGCTTGCATGCAGCATAAGGAAATGGTGCTGTGCCCTGTGCCCCCCATGAGTGAAGGAGCTATGTTTTCAGGTGTGTGTCCTACAAGCACAAAGCCCAGAACTGCAGTACCTTTGTTCTCTTTTCCAACTAGACAAATACCAAGAGAAGTATTGAACCACACACAAAACCTGTATTGTCAAGAGGCAGCAAACACCGATCAGGTGAATTTGTCCATTGAAGTTTTCCAGGCTTGGACTGATTAAGCCAAGCCTCAATTGATCTGCTGAGACCAAAACAGCAGATTTATTTGTTTATTACTATTTTATCTTTATTTATGGACATAGAAGATATGAAGATGACCAGAAATTCAGACATGGAAGACATCTGAATGCACATAAAGTTTTATCTAGTCATTCTGAGACTGGAGGATATTGAAGGGGATCAATTTTTTTATTTTTTTATTTTTTTGGTCTGAAGAATGATGAAGCAATCTTCTCCAGGGACATATGATGAGTACAGGGAGTGCTGCTTTAAACGTGGAAATTTCTGCTTGGTGTCAGCACACTGGTGGTTAGACATCCTCTGATGTGAAGTGGATGATCACGCCAGCCTTCCTTGTACCAAGCTCTGAAAATAATAGCATAGGAAGAACAAGAAAACAGACGATCAGTACAGAAGAAGCCAAGTTTCTTAATAAAAACAAGGTTACACAAGCAAAAATGGTTTTAAAGGTATAGTAATATTGTATTTGGAAAATATTAATTTCCCATGGAACTTTGTTGTTACATTATGATTAACAAACATAAGAAACCTTACTCTCTAAATCTGATGACTAAATCCCTTTAATTTATTTAATCATTAAATACAAGGATTAAGTTTTCTTATGTTTAATTACACATAAGGAGTTGCCCCTATTTGTTCTGGGGTTTTATTTATTTTTCCACGTCTTAGTGAATTTTCCTCATTGCTTATCAATTAAATTATTTCTATGAATGAAACAGTATTTGTGAAATATAATGTAGCTACCCTGAGAAACAGTGAGAGAATGATTCTTGATGAAATGTGCTACAGGTCCTAAAAATTCAACTATTCTACCGTAAATGATCAAGTGTCAGCAAACCAAACTCATCAGCTGGCATGCGATTTTTTTTCCAGTTTCCGATCATTAGTAACAAATTGAACCATACTCATAGAGAGAAATCAGAAGAAATACAAATGAGTATATATATATATATATATATATATATATATATTTTATATATATATGTATGTATATATATATGCATTCCAAAAGAAAAAAGTCAAGGAATAAAAACTTACTTATATATCCACTACTACCTACAGATTGTGATACCAGTTCAAATGACACACATTTAGACAACTTTTAGCTAGTGAATTAAAAAAAACACGCCAAAACTTAGTAGTGCATATATAAAAAAGTAAACAATAGACCATTAATAGTTTCCTAGCACTCAAAAAATAACAATAAACTTCAAAAGATAAGCTCAAGCTTGATTATAACTATGCAAGAAGTGTTCATCTCAGAGATCATCTCATTAGCCCTATGGAGTCAAATTCTGAGAAAAAAGGATTTGACCTCTAAGTCCTAAGAATGAACATGTTATAACCAGATTCTGAATCAGTTATGTAACTGAAATTATGACTGTGATTTTCTAAAACTAGAAAATCAAAAAGGAAACTGAAGTACACCAAACTTACTGTCTTGATTTAAAGTTACCGGAAATGCTGTATTTATAGGTCATTATTTCAGTGGAGTATTTAGTTTGTTTTGTCTGTAACAATTATATGGATTAATACACAAAGATGAAGACCCATCCAAGTTCTTTCTCATTTTTCAATATGCAAAAAAAAACTTAGATTCTGAGAATTACCTTTCTTGTTTTATAGGTCGCACCTGTACTCCTGCCACGCATCTGTGGAGCATGGTATCAGCCAACAGTTAATCAAGGATCACTTCCTTTCAAAGTGACTGATGAGCCACTGTTACAGCAATTTACAAAAATAACTTTTAGAAAAGGTGATTCAAGAGTTTCTGACACATTTCACTTGTCCTGAAAGTTCCATGCTTGAAAGTTCATGTTTCAATAATAAGTAAATAGAAATTTTTAAAGGGTCTGCTAAATTTTAGAAATAAAATGTCAGTGGCAATATTTTCATTTAGATTACAAGCAGTGATAATGCCCAAGATTAGCTTTTAAAACTGTTAACGAGCCCTGGCAATGTGAAAAAGATATAGATTAGGTAGATGCAATGAGGAATGATTAAAGAGTGCAAGCACTGAAAGGTGCTGGAGAAATTCTTTTCAGAAAGAGTGTAATTAGTATCCGATAAAAGTACTTGGCAGATAAGATCTCTGAAGAAGAAAGGCTAAGACAAACAAATATTTTATGACAAAGCTGTTTAATTTTTCCCCTTTGGTTTTCTTAATAGCCTCAACATTACACTGAAACTCCATACATAAATGATGTTTGTGGGGTACTTGATGCAAATCTACCAGACAATTGAGTGTTTTAATTGCCAGACACTGCGTGCAGAAAATGTGCTAAAACATCTTCTTCCATTTTTGGTGTACATTTCTTTGTTGATTTATGTAATGTGGCTAATAATATGCAACATATCCTGGTTTTAAACAAACAAATGAACTTTTTAAAAAGCTTTCCATAAGTTGCTAAGCAACTCCAAAGACACATTTTATTAATTTAACAAATAGCATTCAGATGACAAGTCCCTAAAGATGATTTCTACCTCTGCTGTTATGAAAAGGAGAAAATCCAAGCAGATTTCTTTCTGAGTTTCCCCCTTGAAGGCCTCTGGGCAAGTCAAAGATGTTGCCTTCTTCAAATAAATTTTTCTTAGTATTTTTTTCAATTGAAAAATATAACTATAATAAAAGTTAGATCCAAGGACTCATGATGTAGCTGTCCAAAGTATTTTCATGCCTGAAGATTATTTAACCTGGGTTCCACTGAAAAGTTGGATAGGAGAATTTGAGGTTGTAGGGAACTAAGCTATGAATCCTAGGGTATTTAGTAGCACCCCACAACTCTACCTACAAGATGCCAATGGTGGACCCCAATAGTGCTGTAATTAAAATTTTCTGTAGGCAAAACCAAGATTACTGGAGGTGGATACAGTTGAAGGGCCACTCATTTACAGTTGAAAAACACTTCAAATAAGTGTTTTTATAAATACTAAATATAAAATACATCTTGAGCATCGCTGGTGATGGCACTATCTCAAGATTTATCACCACTCATCAATACCTATCATCTCCATCACCACCAGTAATGAAGAGTAAGTAGGTATGCAATAGTGACTCTAAGATGTACAGCTCTCTCCATGTATTCAAGGCTTATGGTTGAGTTTATCATTTCAGTGTAATTTTCATTGTATACAAACGGGAGTAAGAAGCTCAGAGGTTATTGTAATGATAAACCTTTTCTAGCAACATCTTGTTTCAGAATTTCACCCGAATCTTTTCTTATTCTTACATTTTCTCTGCATTCAATATTTAACTAGAACGATTTCCAAGTGAGTAGCAAGGGGTTGAAGAGACGGCCCAGCAGTTAAGAGCAAATGCCGCTCTTCCAGAGAACCTGTGTTCGGTTCTCAGCACTCCTGTTGTTTGTAGGTGGCTCACAGCTGCCTCTAACCCCAACTTCTGAGGGATCTGATGCCTCTGGCTTCCTCAGACACTTCCAGTCACATGCACGTACCCCTCCCACACATACACGTAATTGTTTAAGTTTTATAAAAATGTATCAGTTGTAATGGTCTTGTAAGGTTTCCCAGACTTTCCTCAGGCGTTTTGATATCTTCTACTTAATACCATCTTTATCCCTTACACACAAACCGCTTGTTATGCTCCCAATTTCACAAGTGATTTATGAAAGACAATTTCATTTTCCCCATGAAAGTTTTCCTAATTAATCCTTCCTTTATGGACAATATCACATTTCTCTTAAAAGAATGGCATGACTACAAATTAATGTGAGGCAATCATTTTCTGACTGTCTTCAATATGCCAGACACTGAACATTGCTTAGTAGCTATTTCTATCAATTTACATTTCATTATTTATGCCCAACTAGATTGTAAGTTCCCAGAGGATAGGAACAGGTTTTATCTGTATCCCTCTGGCACCTTTTAATAATGATGCTAATAAATATGCTTTACATTTGATTAGCAATTATAACCTTTCAAATTAGTTTCATGGTTATTAGCTCATTGGTTATATAATTTCACTATTTTACAATCAATGAGAGTGGGGCATAAAATTCTCTAGGGAATAGTGCTTGGAATACACAACTGGTACTCAGTAGAATATGTATTCAATAAATACAGACTGAGTGAATTCAGTCTCACAAACCTAAAATGGCTTGCCTGATTATAAAAAAAATGTTTATGACATTCAAAAAATAAAAGTTGTTGTAAAGAATAAGAATTGTTGAACGGTGCAGAAGACACAACAAAGCGGTGAATCAGTTTAAAAAGTGTTCAATTTTAATAAGGCAGCAGGAGAACGTGAGAAATCTTGTAGTTTCTACAAGAGATTAACTTCATTTTTGTAAGCTCTTCCTTCTTAAAGAGATAAAGTTGTTTTTAAAAGACAATAGAAATGTAAAGGAAAAAGCCTTAAGATTAACTCCTACATTCTGAAAGTCACAGCATTTTACCTCGTGTATATGAATAAGACCACAAAAAATATTTCTACAACTTTACCCACACACACACTGGGCGGGGGGGAGCATAGCTAGATAAATAACACCAATGTAAAACATACGTGATTTTTTGCCTTTCAGCCCAGTAGAAGGGAGAAAAAAATACCCTGTGCTAAAGTCAGCTGATCTGAGGGCATCCAAGTCTAAGGAAGCCATCCTTTATCCAGCCACCGTGCCATTTACTGCGCCACTGCTACGTGAAGACACTGGTCTAGGCCCTTGAGGGAGAGGTCCAAACCTTAGTTGCTGGTGTGAATCTGTGTCAACGGTGCAGAAAGGGGGCAAGTGAAAAAGATCTGAAAAACCAGAAATGATTTTCTTTTCATTGGGCCTTTTCTTTCAGCTTTTAGCTTTTCCCGCTCCCCAATTCAAGAAGCGAAGGCATTTAAAGAGAAACGAAAATAAAGAGAATTGAAGAGGAAAGGTTATGACATCCCCAGTCAGGTAGAAGATGCTACGGGCGTCCGAGCCATTCTTCAACCACGTGACTGGCGTGAGAGGAGAGCCCGGAGCGACCCCCTAGGCCTGGGGAGGCGCTGGATGAGGGTGGGGTGAAGGCCTGCGGAGGAGGTGGGGACCCGCTCGGGGATTGTGAAGAGGGCCCAGGTCCGGGGCGCTGCGGCAGGCCTGCACCCGACTGACTCCTCCCGGCTACCCAGCGGCTCCCCCGTGCCGAGCCGGCCGAGCGCTGGATCATCCCCTGGCACTTCCTTCCCAGACAGCGCGGCGCTGGCTTGGCGAGCTGCGTCCGAGCTCGGGGAGCGGGGACTAGAGGTTGGCTGGGCCAGGCCCGACGGACCTGGGACAGCGTAGCGCCAACCGGTCCGGGTGCCACCCAGATGCCGCGAGGGGAGCGCAGAGGCCGGGCCCTGGCTGTGGAATCCG